GGTTTTGCTCCTCAGTCCTATACTGTTGGATTGGGCTGGGCTTCCTGCTGATTCTGTCATGGATTCCAACTCCCAAACCTCTGGTGAGCCTCTTGACCTTTGGAAACTCATGAGGTCACAGCCTAGTCTACCCCATGATTGATACTCCTTCTTTTAAGGCAGAAAAGAAGAGACGCGGCAAGACAGATGCAACATCAGAGCTATGTACTTAAGGCTTCGTATTGACCCAACTTGGAAGAGTAGGCTGCTGGTATTGACCCTTCTTAGCCACAGAAGGGCCACATGAAAACATTATCATGACCATCCTCCACTCAGAGTCCCACAGCAGCTCAACCTCCTTGCTCACCACCAGGGAAGGAAAAGGGGCTGAGTTGCCACATGGGAGTCTTTCAACAATAAGTTTAGTTCTGGCTCTGTAGCCATTGGAAGAGGCCTTTTCCTTACCATGCAGTAAGTGAGCAGGAACCAGTCACAGCATACTTGAACATACTCTGAAGGTCATGCATTGGAGGAAGTGCACTGCGTTTGATCATAGGGACTAGACTGTCATTGGCCTATCCCCTATTATGCTTAAATTAGACCCTCTTTGTAGTCAGTGAGTGACTCATCTTTCCATAGCTGTTGTCGTTACTAGTTATTATTGTTATTATTTTGGAAATGTTTATAGTGGTGTGCAAAGTACTTCGAATGAGCAATAATTTAGAAACGGTTTCATTTTGTGACAGCAATGGTCATGGGTATGTGCTTCTACCGATAACAGACGGCCTCAGAAAACCTAGCCTTGACCAGATCAAATCAGGTCAAGCTGGTTTCCCCATTTTTAGTTAGTTCTCTGTCACTTGTCAGATTTGGTTCCATATACATGTGTTTCATTACTCTCTTCTATTGTGTTTTTTAACTCTCATAGATTTAGAGTTATAAATTACCTTAAAGGCCATCCAGTCCAAGTCTTTCATTTTATAGATGAGGAAAATGAGGCCCAAGTGTCCGAGGCAGGATTTGAACCCAGGTCTTCCTAACTTTAAGACCAGCACTCTTTCTACTTCGTTATTGCTCCAAGGAAACATGCAAAATATGTGGTCTGTAAGGAGAACATTTCAGTTGAATGTTGAATGCATTTCATCAGCTTTTGGTGTGAGAAAGTCAAGAATCATTCAAGCTCGTGATGAAACCATCAGTCTCACCAAAGTACAAAGGAAAGAGCCTTCTAAAATTAAAAACAAAGCCAAGAAAAAACTACTTCTGCACAACAACCTCATAATCCTCAGAAAGCCCACACAGAAGGCCCTGGGAGCTGGAAGGGCTCACATTGATTCCTCTACTGTACTTCTGGAAGCTAGAACATCAAGAACACCCTCTTTTAACTGCTCCTGACTTTTCATATAAAAAAGGGCTTGTCACAGGCAATATAATACAAAGACTAGAGCACTCAGTATTGGAAAAACATCATTTTACTGATAAAGCCCATTTTTTTACTTTTAAGACTATGCCAAAACCATTCTTAGGAGCAGTCCAGGTGAACCTATAAGATTTTCATTGGACTGTAAAACATCCAACCCAAAAAGGGCCCTGGGGATTTTTTCTTACTGCCAATGGGCCTAGAGGTCTTCTTTTTCCACTGAAGGAATGATGAGCCCTGATAAATATATCATTAGGCTGAAAAGCAGAATTGCCCTGGAGTTAAGTACAGAAATTCCCTAAACAGAGACGGAGCATTGCAACACAACCTTGTACCAAGCAACACTTAATAAAAGGTTAAGAAATTTATCCAAGAGATAAAGATCAATGTACTTCAATGATCTGATTTAAATTCCATTGAAAATCTATGAGTTGTAATCAGTGATAGACTTGGGGGAAAATGGATTGTTCATCAAAGGTATATACATAGTGTCCAATGTGATTTTTTTTTAAAGTATGGTTTCATGATGAAGAAAGAAGAATGTGCCGAAGAATCTCATGTACTCAATAAGCAGGTAGATGATACAGTGGATGGAGTGCTGGGCCTGGAGTCAAGAAGACCTGAGTCTGAATCTGACCTCTGAAACACTGGAAAAACCATTTCATCTGTTTCCTCGACTGTAAATTGAAGAGAAGACTAGCACTTACTTCTCAAAGTTGTAGCAAGGATTAAATGAGAGGATATTTGTGAAGTGCCTGACACATAGTAGGTGTTTTAATAAATTAATAAATGCTCCTTTCCTTCTTCCAAATCGTGCAAAAAAAGTAAGCACAGCAACGAAAGTTTCTTAACAATGTAAAAAGTTGTAAGACTTATTGTGTAAGTGACATTAGTGAGTTTTTTCTTTTCTTGCCCATATCTAGGTCTCCACCCTACCTCCTGGCCACCAGGTTCAAACCCTGTGGTACCACAACACCCCATTCCAGCTCTCCTTTACGTATTATCTTCCCCCATTAGAATGTAAGCTGCTTGAGGGCCGGGATTGTCTTGATTATTTTATTTTTATATTCATGTCCCTAGGGCTTAGTCCAATGTCTGGCACAGGCTTAATGAATGCTTTATCAATCTGCCAATATATATGATTATTTTACTTTGTCCCAAGCAATTCACACACCACAGTATCTATTTATGTATTTTTTATTCTGATAAAATGTAAACCCTGTGAGAACAGGGATGATTTCATTTTTGTCTTCATATCTCCAGCACCTAGCATATTATCTGGTATATAGTTGGCACTTAATAAATGCTTATAGGTTGACTGGTTAACATATCAGTGTCAATGAGAGACAACATCTTTTCTGTCATCTGTCAAATGCTCAAGAGGAAGAAATTTAAGAGTGAACAAGTCTAGTGAGAGTCTCACATTAGCTTCAGCAATGTTACACTGAGCAACTTTCAGAATCTACTATTCCTCTCTGAGTGCTTTTGTTATTATTCCCATTTTACAGAGGAGGAAACTGAGGCCCAGGAAAGTGAAGTGGCTTTCCTAATGTCATATGGGTAGTAAATAGAAGAGCCAGAATTTGAATCTAGGTCTTCTGGCTCCTAATTGAGTGTTCTTTCTCTGACCCAATAGTACCTCTCATTTGCAACTGGGAAATAAATTGAAGCCCACTGGAGCCCTGAAGGATTACACTTATGCTGTTGGCCCAACAACCATAAGCATTATGAGGAGGCTGAAAGCCTGACTGCCCCAAGACACCAAGAACTACCAGGATGGTGTGCTTTCATCAGCTCTCTTGAGGATCCACTACTTCCAGAGGGTTGAAATGGTCTACCCATTAACAGCCAGGCTTCTTCCAATAACAATAAGATATAATGACAAGAACCCTGGATTTCAAGGCAGAGAATATCAGTCAATCAATGAGCATTTACTATGTACCAAGCACTGGGTATAGAAAGGAAAGCAAAAAATAGTCCTTGTCTTTGAAGAGCTCCCATTCTAACTGGGGAGACAAATATGTGCAAATAGTTATGGGCACACAAAATATATCCAGTATAAATAGAAGGTAATCTCAGAGGAAAGAGGTGTGGGATCCAATCCCATCTCAACTACTTATATAATCAAAGAATTGCAGCATTTTAGAGTTAGGGCTAAAGTGACCATCTAGTCACACTCAGAAGGAACCCCCACTAGAAAAGTGGTAGGTCAGTTTCTGCTTGGCATCATCTAAAGAGATGGAAAGCACTACCTTCTAAGGAAGTTTATTCCACTTTTGGACAACTCTGATTATTAGAAGTTGGATTTTTTTCCCCTGTCATCAAGCCTAAATGTTCCTCTTTGCAACTCCTGCCCTTATTACTTGATATAAAGGAAAGGATGCTGGATTTTGACCCAGGGGACCTGGGTTCAAATCACCTGGGTCTCAATTTCCTCATTTGTAAAATGGGGGGGGAGGTCCCCCAGCACTTCTTAAACTGTGAGTTGCAACCATATGGGTTTGAAAAATTTGACAACAGTAAAAGGTTTCTGAATACACAATGACCAAAAATTAATTAAAAATCAAATGCGTAATGAATCTGAGGTGTTTCTGGCAGTGCTTGCCTGTTTTGCATCACACAACTTCACTGTAGCTCCGAACACACAGCATGTGCACTTTGCACTGGTGCTGTCATGCCACGCAACGCCAACCAATGCTGCTGAAAGGAGAAAAGGGGTCTGCAATGGGAAAAGTTTAAGAAGCCCTGGTCTAGATGATCCTTTTAGATCTCTAATCTTTTGCAGCTCTCAATTCTAGAATCTTTAGATATGTGGGAGAAACTGATGTCCCAAAAATAGAGAGGAAGATGTGTTAGGGTAGATCTGTGATCTTCTCTACAGGCCTGGGAGCTCAGCAGGCCAGGTGTGTGTGTGTGGTTGGAAGGTGTGACTCATATGATGATGCTCTCAGAACCCATGCTAGGAACAATGATGCTGAAATATTCAAAGATTCACTTGATTATTTATGAGACATTTCCTTTGGATAAATACCACCTTCATGAGGGCACAGAGCTGCCTCCAGGGGCCATGAAATATTGTCTGGCAGACTGGTGAAGGCTTTCAGTCATTTGAAGGGTTTTATCATCCTGACTGGCGAGTCTCCCCGATGAGGTCCTCTGATGATGCATAAATAGCCAGATGCCTTTAAAATGCAACCACTGAGCATTTTCCCTAGCTCTGAAGCCTGCCCTCGACACAGGCAGGCTAAGAGTAATGGGTATTTGTATATTACCTTGAGATCTGAAGAGTAGCTGGCGTTCATCAATAGTTTGGTTGAATGGGAAGAGCCTTGACTCGAGTCAGCTCAGTCTAGAGTCAGGACCTGAGTTCAAATGCTGCCTCTGATGTTTTTTACCTGGGTGACATTTGGCAAGTCATGAAAATTCTCCAAGTCCTAGTTCCCTCATCTCTACTATGAGAAAGTTCAACTAGATCAGCAGTTTGGGGTCTTGGGATGCCTTCACACTCTTAAAAATTGAGGACCCCAAAGAGCTTTAGTTTTGTGGGTTATCTCTATTGATATCACTGGATCAGAAAGTAAAACTGATAAGTGTTCAAAATGTTTATTAATTCATTCAAAAATAATGTTAAATCCAGTACATGTTAACATAACATATTTTATGAAAAATAATTGTATTTTCCAAAACAAAGAAAATCTAGTGAGAAGAGTAGCAGTGTTTTACCCTTTTTTTGCAAATCTCTTTAATGTCTGGCTTAATAGAAGACAGCTGGATTCTCTTATGTGCCTCTGCATTCAATCTTGCTGTGATTGCAAGAAATGTGATATGTGGTTTTGATTGAAGTATATGAAGAAAATCTGGCCTCTCACAGATATGCAGTTAGAAAGGGGAGGAGAATTTTAATAGGCAAATAACATCTTAGTATTATTAGAAAAATAATCTTGACTTCAAAGACTTCAGGGGTCAGAGGACTATATTTAGAGAGCCACTGGCCAGATGGCCTCTCATACGCCTCACACCAACCCTGGGAGGGCAGGAATTACAAGGACCATCAGCGTTCCCATTTTAGAGGGAACTAACAGGCAAAACATTGAGGGACTTTTACCTGTGACCATACTGTGAGTACGTGTTGGAAGCAGGATTCAAACTCAGGTCTCCCCCAGTAAGTCAACTAGTATTTATTAAGTCCAACTATGGGCTAAGTGGTGGGGATACAAAGAGAGTCAAAAGTCAGTCCCTGCTCTCAAGGAGCTCACAGTTTAATTTGGAAGCCAACATGCAAACCACCAAATAAAAACAAGGTGTTTTATATACAAGTTGTCACAAAAGCCTTAACTTGGTCTTAAGCTATTAAAGCTTAAAATTGAAAAAAAGACTTTTGGGACACCCCATACAGGACAAATTAGAGCTAACAGGACGAAGTACAGGGAAGGCACCAGTACTAAGGTAGGATCAGAAATGGCTTCATGCAGAAGATAGAACTTTAGCTGTGCCATGAAGGAAACCAGGAATTGGAGATGAAGATGGAGAAAGTTCTAGGCATGGGAGACAGTCAGGGATATGTTCAGAGCTGAGGGATGGAGTCTCCTGAGAGAAGAACAGCAAAGAGGCCCTTGTCACTGGATCACAGAGTACTGTATGTGGTGGGAGGGGAACGTCAGGTGTAAGAAGACCAGAAAGGTAGAAGGAAGCAGGTTAGAAAGGGCTTCATAAGCCAAACAGAGGCGTTTACATTTGCTGCTTTTTAAGAAGCCATTAATTTTTACTGACTAGGAGATGACATTGTCAGACTAGGGCTTTAGGAAAATCAATTTGACAACTAAGTGGAGGAAAGACTGGAGTGGGAGAGATTTAAACAAACCAACAGGTAGTCTATTGCAATGGTGTAGGCAGGAAGTGATGAGGGCCTACACTAGCATCATCTCTAGTCTGATATGTTCCATTACTGACCGAATCCTGGTTCTGATACAGGTGAACTTCAGAATCATAGAATGTTCAAGCTAGAAGGAAACAGAGATTATCTAATCCACTATCACTATTTTACAAAAGAGGAAACTGAGGTTCACAGAAAGAGGCTTGCCCAAGTTGCACAACTTAGTTAATTATTGTCAAAACTACTGACTCCAGGATGAGCTTCAAGAAGATGATAAAGAAAGCTCAATGAAGAAAATCTCCTGCACTGGAATCTTCCTTCCCTGACTCCCTCCCTCAGCCTTAGCGTGTTTGGACACCAAGGGTTTGAGTGGGAATGCTGTCCCAGGTCCTGACCCATTGGCTGTTCTCTACTCACTCTCAGATAACAGAACAGGCTCTACTCTAAACTGCTGCCATGGACAACTTGGGGTGCTACCCCCATGTCAACCAGACTATCTACCTAGAAATCTGTGAGCAGTGTCCAAGAGACAAAGGTGAGAAACCACACTAACCTCTGCCCTTATGGTCTACCAGGACTCGGAATCAGGATACTGCCTTAGCTAACAAAGCCTCAGCTCTGAAGGACAGAAAGAGCTAAGTCAACTTTTTCCTGGCTACACCACACACACACACACACACACACACACACACACACACACACACAATAGTCATTCTTCATGTTTCCATGTTTCTATCCCGTCTGTCACCTCACCACCACCCACTCAATTCTACTGTGGCAAGAACAGTTTGACTAAAGAATAATCCAGGTATATGGAACTAGGACCACCACCAACTCAAGGAACCCAACCTCCAGTTTTGAACACAGGTGCAGCAAACACACCCATCTGCCTATTGAATAAAGAGCCACAGAGCTCATAGCCAAGAATCACAAACTGTTGGAAATAGGATGAACCTAGGAGACCATAGAGTGCATAATTTCTCAAACTAATTTAGCTAGAAACTATTCATCTGAGCCTTGAAATTCATTGTCAGATCCCCAAAAATAATGTTCCAGTGAGTGGAAGTAATAAGATCTGAGATTCTGGAATAGTCTCTGAAAATAAAGGAGTTGGGTAAGGGGGATTCAGAAAAATTTTAGAGTAAAATAGATTAAATGAAGCCTCTTTGTACCAAAAAAAAAGCAACTGATATTTATAATATGTAATTTTATATTTCAGACACAGATTTCATGTTTTAGCTCAGCGTATCATATTTGAGAGGGGGAAATTGCACTTGCTTTTAAACGTTTTCCTGGAATCCCTAGTGTCATTGTGTCTAACCCCTGGGCTCTGTGGAACCCAGATTGGGAAGCTCTGATCTTAGGCAAGTCCTTCACTTGGCTGTTGAGGGAAGTTGCGGTTCAGAGTGGTGCAGTGACTGGCCCCAGGGCACACAACTGACCAATAGCAGAATCGAGACTAGAAGCTGGCTTTCCAGACCCCTAATCCAGGGCACTTTCTACCACTGTATGCTGTCTGGCAGAACTGGGGAGAATGGAGGTGGGCAGAGGTTGAGGGGCCCAGGCTCCTCAGGGAGCATCATTCAGAGAGGCCTGAGCAGGAAGGCAGAGCCCCCCAGCCTGACTTCTCCCTTGCCCTTGCCCGTGCCCTTCAACTGGGTCCTGCAGATTGAGCCCCTAATTAGCAATCAGGGGAATGGCCTGCTCTGCCCCTGGGAGACCCAACAGGGAGGGCGTTAGAGCCAGCACAAGGGGTGCCCTCAGCAGAAGGGCTCATCTCTGAAGCACTTCCCTCAGGTTGCCTCCTTAGGCTCTACCCCAATTCTCCACACCCCTGGGGAGGACAGGGAGAAGCAGAGCACCCTGAGGAGCTCCCAGGGCCCAGGGCAGGCAGGTAACCCAGCCAAAGTCACACAGCCAGAGCAGGCAGCGCTGGGGTTTGGGCTCCCCAGACACTCAGAAGCCTTCCTCCTCAGCCAGGGAGAAGAGCACAGCCTTGGGAGTGTTCTCGAAGAGCGCGGCCCGGTTCTGTTGCTGGCCTTTCTTCACCCAGTGTCCATAGATTCGGAAGGCACAGGCATCGATGAGCTTCCGCAGCGGCCGAAGAGCGTAGGGATCTCGGAGGACGATTTCTCGGGTCACTGGCTTCACGCGCCGGTACATGTAGTAGATCCGCACGGAGGCCAGCACGGTCAAGACGATCACCTGCAGAAGAGGCGAAGGAGAGCACAGCGTGGGGGAGGGGGAACCCCAGGGGTAGCCCCCGCATTTCTTCCTGGGGGAACCTCCCTACATCGGTGAAGCAATGGATTGGAGAAGTCAGAGGCCCTGAATGCGAATCAAGCTCTTCCATAGCTACTGTGACCATGAACAAGTACCTTACCGTCTCTGTGCCTCAGTTATTCTGTAAAATGAGTGGGCCGGCCTAAATGACCTGTAAGGTTCCTTCCAGCTCTAAATCTGTGATCCCTTGAAGGGCAATGATAGCACCAACTCAGCTCTCCAAAGAGCCATGAAAATCTGTATTGGAGGCTCTGCCTCTGACCCTCTGGCTGTATGATTCTGGACAAGTCCCTTAATATCTCAGGTAGTCCAGATCTCTCTCCAAGATGATAAGGTGCCCGCCTGCACTGATGGAGAGACAGTCCGATAGCTCATCCACATTTCTGTGCTGCTTTAAGGTTTACAAAGTATTTTCCTGCCAATAGCCCAGGGAAATAGAGAATATAAGTATTTTATGCCCATTTTCTGTATGAGAAAGCTACAAAACTGAGGCCAGAGAAGGAAAGTTACTTGCTTATCGTCACACATTATACTAAGTGACAAATTCTGAGGAATCAGAAAGGATCTCAGAAGCTGCTTGGGCCAGCCTGAATCTGAGGGAGGCTCCCCTCTCCACTACCTCGTCTCTTTTTCAGTAGAATAAGAGGCCGATTGAGCCCCTTTGGATTGGGAAGGTGGAGGGGTCCCTAGGAGGTCAGTTTTACCCTTTCCAGCCTGTGTTAGAGAAGAGGGAATCATCACCCACACTAGGCCCTCAGGGAATGATCTTTGTGTGATAGGACAAAGAGGGCCTCTCAGCTGATTTCTGGGTTCCCCTCCGAGGCCAGAAAGATGTGGATTAGACTGAGATGAGAGAAGGTGGTGGAGGTCCAGAATGGACGAATGAGCGAGAACAAGTGAGCAAGTGAGAGCGACGTCAGGGGAATGCGAGTCAAAAAGCCTCTACCTTGAACTTCCCCCTGGGACTGAAGTGACGCACTTCCTCGACCACATATTGCTGGAAAAAGGGGTGAGCCAGGGCGTCCTCAGCGGTGCACCGTTGCTGTGGGCTCAGGATCAGGAGCTGAGAGATCTGGGAAGAGCCAGAGGATCCCCTTAGCAGTACTGCAGGGCCACTCTGGGGGCCCAGGCTGCAATACACGGGTTGTACTATAGAGGAAACTTGGCATTGGGAAAATAGGAGACTCTCCCGAGTCCCTCCCTCCTCCAATTCCCAGCTCTCCACTATCTCGGGGCAGAATTCTACCCATCTATGTTTCCTTGTCCACCTCCTCCCCTGAAGGGACCAAGGAAGACCCTCCTTCCCCTGAGACCCCAGCATATCCAGAGTAGAACTATCCCTCCCTCCCTCCCTTCCTTCCTTTCTTCTTTCCTTCCTTCCTTCCTTCCTTAATTCATTCATTCCATGAACATTAAGTGCCAGCTATCCACAAAGCACCGTCCTAGGATCATAATGACAAAAACCAAAACAGCCTCTGCCCTTGTGCAGCATAGATTCTACTGCAGTGGTGCAATGTACACAGATAAGTCAATACAAAATACGTAGGAAATGGTGACATCCTGGTACGGTGGAAAGAATGGGGCTTTTTGAGTCACAGGACCAAGGTTCAAATCCTGTTGCCTACTACTTGTGTGACCTCGGAAAATCCTGTCATTCTCTGAGCCTCATTGTCCTCATATGTTAAATTTAGAGGTGGTGCTAGATGGTTTCTAAGGTCCCTCTGATGTCTAGATACATGATTCTATAAAACTAAATATAGGGTGATTTGGGTGGGGAGGCAGGGAGAGCAATATCCCCTGGGAGTATTGTGGAAAGGCTGCCTGTAGACCAGAGGGGTCAAGCTTGTGCCTTGAGGGACATGAATGGACAACACTCTGAGTGAAGTTCCACTCAGATCAAAATAGAATTGGGAAATACTTAATAAGATAAATAAAAATAGGATACAACATAGATAATGTGAAGTTGTGGTTTTCTAAGTCAATATGTGGCTGTGGGGGTTGTTTCTAGTTGAGTTTGACAGCAGGGAGCTGGGAATTCCAAGAGGGAGGAAGGAAGAGGCTCTCAAGGACAGGTGCAGAGATGACAGATGGGATGCGGGAGGGGGAGGACTAGATGTCATCCATCATTGGAGAACAGCCAGTAAGCTGGAAAAGAGAACTTGAGGAGTAATGTGAAATTGGTCTAGAAATAGAGGTTGAAGAAAAAGATAGCCAAGAGATAGATACACAGATATAGATAGAGCTAGCTCTACATAGAGAAGTATATATGCATATATATGTGTATGTATATATATATATATATATATATATGGAGAGAGAGAGAGAGAGAGAGAGAGGTAGATAGATATAGAAGGGCTTTAAATGACAGAGGAGATTTGGAGTATCAGAGCCAGATGGGACCTTGGAGATTATCCAGTCCATCTCCCTCATCTGACAGAGGAAGGAACTGAGGCACAGAAATGATTAACCCAAGGTCACGCATCTAAATAATAATACCACCAGGACTAGAACCCACATTTCCTGACTTCCAGTCCAATACTCTTCATGGCCCCACACTGCCTTTCTCATTTCCTCTTCTCTCCCTGGCTCCAACCTAGAAGGGAGAGCCAAGTACTCACAAGGTCCTTTACAGTGTCTGATCGATCATCCCACTCTGGGGAGCCAAACTGGTAGTTGCCACTCATGATCATTCTCAACATCAGCATCTGCTTGCGGTGCCAGAAAGGGGGCGAGCCGGCCAGGAGGGTATACATAATCACACCTGTGCTCCACCTGGGAGTAGAAGGGAAGGGCAGAGATCACGCTGGAAGGACTCCAGACACCAGCACTCAGGGTACAGCTCAATATTTCTTTTGAAATGTATTTTATTTACATCTCTCACTTCCCAATCTCACACATACACACACACACACACACACACACACACACACTAACACCACCACCATTACCACTAATAGAATCTTCCCTTGTAATACAGAAGTAAAGCAAACCAAGAGCGCATATTGGCCATGCCTGGCAGTGTATATTTCACTCTATACCTGCAGCCCCCCACTCCTCTAATAAGAAGAGTGAAGCGTGTTTCATCATCAATTCTCTGAAGTTAAGATTGGTCATTGCTTCTTGCATTGACTTGAATTCTGTTTTCTTTCCATTTTTTCCTTTCCATTACTGTGGACCCTACTGTTCTTAATTTTTTTCCTATATCTCTGTTCCTTCCAAAACCCTACACCTCACAAATTAATCACTGTCCCCTTCTACCCCTGATTTGTGACCACCCTTTACAATGACCACTCCCCTTTTCCCAGACTCACATGTCCACTTCCTTCCCATAACCAGGGTGGCTGTCATTCATGGAGCACTCAAGGATTTCAGGGGCCAGGTAGCTGGGAGTCCCACACACCTCTGGCAGGAGTAAAAGAGAAGGGGACATTAAGGAAGACGCTCAAACTGGGAGGGAGAGAGAAGGAAAAGGAGAAGGTGGAAAAAAAGGAGGAGAATGGGGAGAAGGAAGAGGAGAAAGAGAAGGGAAAGAGAGGAGGAGGAGGAAAAGGGAAGAGGAAGAGAAAAAAATCTACAGAAACAATATAGTTGGAGCAAGAGACCTGTCACAGTTAATCTTGGCCCAATCACTAGTCAACTCTCCAGGAGAGAAGAGCATGGAGGAGGCAAGTGACTAGTCAGGTAGCCCTGCAGCAGGCAACAGGTTGGAAAATAGGAAGAAGGTCCTGGCTGCCCTACCTCGAAGCTTCTCTCCAGGGTCCAGCTGGCAGGAGAATCCAAAGTCAGTGAGTTTGATATTCATATCATCATCTAGGAGGATGTTTTCTGGCTTTAGGTCTCTGTGTACGATGCCCAGCTTGTGCAGGTAGCAGATCACCTCCAGCAGGGCCCTCATGATCTTCCTGGTGGTGAGGGAAGGGGAGGAAATGAAGAAGGAAAGGAGAGGAGAGGGGAGGAGTTCTTCAGGTCACCCTGGCCCCTGAGCCTCAACCAGTCCTCTACATTGAGGTCCATGAACTTCTGAACCAGGACCCAAGCATTTGTCAGCCTCCAAGGAGGGACTGTGGCTCTTAGAACCATCATATAGGAAAGAAGTAAGACTCCACACTCCCTCTCCTAGGTGTGCATCCTGCCCACATTTCCTCGTGCAGAGAGATAGCACCTAGCCTTACCCAGCATACTCCCCAAAATCAGAAACCCTCGTACCTAGAGTGTGAAAGAACATCTGGCCATTATCACTACCACCACCACCCAAGCCATGTAGCTCGTCTGATTAGAATCCCAGTCCTGATTCCCTTCTCCTTCAACGCCCCAAGAAAAGGCAGCAAAATTGGAGAGAGGCAGTTATCAGAGGAATCACACAGTCATGCAATTTTGGATTTGGAAACCTCAGAAAGCACTGAGTCCCTCACAGAAATAATAAGAACTCCTAGCAGGGTAGGGAATGGAGGCAAAGAGTATCTAGTGACTGACTCCCCTCACCTGGTTTCTTTCTCACTCAAGGTGACCTTTTCGGTCAGGTAGTCAAAGAGCTCGCCTTTCTTCATCCTACAGGCAGGTGTTGAAGAGAGGGGAGAAGAGAGACTGGATGAATGCACAAGACCCTCCTACCCCAATTCTGCCCCATCCTACTCAAGGCACTCCTTTGGGTCCCTATATCTCTATGGCAACCAACTAGCATAAAGTCCCAGAAAAAAAGGGGAGCTGCTACCCAACATAGGTGCAGGGGCTCAGGGTTTGGGAAAAGAAGCCTTTCCCCATCCCCCTTAATGCTAGCACTTTCCTCCTGAGATTATCTGCAATTAATCCTGAATATATATTGTTTGTACCTAATTGTTTTCAGGTTCTCTTTCCCATTAGATTGTGAGCTACTTGAGGGCAGGGACTTTTTTCTTTGTTGTTGTTGTCGTTGTTGTTGTTGTTTAATTCCCCAGTGCCTCGAACATCGTAAATGCCTATGGAATGTTTGTTGACTGACTGACTGACTGACTGATTGACTTGACTGAGGGAGAAAGGTTGAGGTAGCAGGAAGCATAAAAGAGAGGGAGGGAATGAGAGAGAAGAACAGTGAGATGAGATAAACCCAGGAATCTCAAGACTTGGATGGAAGCTCAGAGACCAGTCTGTGATGGTAGTGTGATGGCACAGGCTGATGGGGAACGGTGTGCCTCAACTTACATTTATCTCACCAGTGGCCTGGTCCAATCTGTGTGGGGTCAAGTTTCACTGGGTGACAGAGACAAGATGCTCAGAGTTGAGAGCCTGGTGCATGTGAGCCAGACCCCCAGCCCTGAGGGCTCCCTGTCAGGGTGGTAGTAGGCAAGGTAGCACCTTATCAGAAGACAAGCAAAGGGCTTTGGGGTTTGATACCAGATTCATTTTTTTTTCTTTTCCTTACCCTTATTCTGCCCTTCCACCCCACCCCCATCCTGGTCACATCTGGGTGGGGTTTATAAAAATAGCCATTTAAACAACTCTTGCTGAAGGTCAGAGACACTCCAACTGCCATTTCCCTCCCCCCTTCCTTACTCCTTCCCCTGCTGCCTACTCAGCAGCTGTAATACCATGAAGAACCAAGGACAGCTGCAGCTAATCCTAGCCAGAGAAACTCAGGAGTTTCTCCGTGGTTTAAAAAAAAATGCACAAGTGGATATGCCCATCTCATTTTCTCTGGGTTGTTATCACCATCACCACCCCCAAGTCATACGGCTCCTCTGGGAACAATCTCAGTCCTAATTCCCTTCTTCTTATCCTGCCTTTAGCACCCCAAAAAAGGGATGGGGCTCCTGTTGCAACAAAGGAGGAGATGGTCAGTAATCAATGAGGGATAATAGGGTCAGGGATTTGGGGACAGGAAACCTCAGAGAGTATTGGGTCCCTCGTAGAATTGATAGTATTAATAATAATAATTATTATTATTATTGTCCTCTTAGCAATAAGTCACTCTGCCTCTAGAACCTCAGTTTCCTCTTCTGTAAAATGGGAACAATAGTAGCCATACTGTTGAATTCACAGCAAGAAAATTAACACTTTAATGCTATAAAAATAGGAACTCTAATTGTGGCTCACCCAGGGACATCTCATCCATTTTTAGCCTTGCAAGCGTCTCCCTTCCCTGTAAATCTTCTGTTCATGGGCGCAAAGAATCCTTGATTTAGAGCTGGAAGAAACCTTCAAGAGCATCTAGTCCCTTGTTTTACAGCTGAGGACAGTGAGAGGTGGTGAGGTGACTTGCCCGGGGATCACACAGCTTAGTGCTTCTTCAGACGTCTGGACCAAAGACCATTCCACTCCATGAGATTGGTCTTGTCTGTCTGGACCATGCTGTTCAGAAGCAGATCACTGCTCTTCTCTCAACCTCAGTTTCCCCCACTGTAAAATGAGAAGCTTGGACTAGATGAGATCTATCATCCTCTGATCTCTAAGGTGTCTTCCAGCTCTGAATCTTGCAAGGCTAAAAATGGATGAGATGTCCCCAGGTGAGCCACAATTAGAGTTCCTATTTTTATAGCATTAAAGTGTTAATTTTCTTGCTGTGAATTCAACAGTATGGCTACTATTGTTCCCATTTTACAGAACAGGAAACTGAGGTTCTAGAGGCAGAGTGACTTATTGCTAAGAGGACAAGCTAGGATGAGAAGATGGATTTTCAGAGCCCACATCCAAGGTTCACTTCCCTGCATCATGCTGCATCATGGCATAGAACTGGAAGGGTCTTGGGGACTGGCTCCCTCCAGTATAAATCAGGAATGGCTAACTCTGAGACCCCCCTACCCCTGCCTGAGAGAATGGCTGGCTATGGGGGCCAGGTACTCACAGGTCAAACACCAGGAAGAAGAAAGTGTTGGTCTCATAAGTGTCCTTCAGCTGGACTGTAATGGAAATGACCAGCTAGCTTCAGGCTGCAGAGAAGATGTTGTTTGGGGGAAGGATGCAAGGAGGGGGACTGGGGCAAAGGCCCTGGGAAGGTCAGATGTGGAGGGATGGTAGTAACGGGAGCTTCAGTGCAGGATCTGATTGGGCTTGAACTGGAGATGGTGGGGTTGTGGACAAAGGTGCCCATAGCTGCTTCTTTATGCTTTCCAGGCAGCTGGCCAGCAGCTTTGCCTGACTTCATCCCTCCACCTGCTCCCACTCCCCATCCCTACCTCCACCTGCAGCCAGCCCTGCCTGTGTGCTTGAAGGAAAGGGAAGAGAGTTTGGGGAAAACTGGAAAGGCTGGGTCTTCATGCCTGACTGAGAGAGAAGGCCAGGCTAATCCTTCTCTCCTGGGTGAGCATTCACTATTTAGGGTTCTCAGATCTCAGGAAGATAGCTTGACTGGGTCTATACAGGCAATGAAAAGTCAGGAACCAATACAATTACCTGGATATTTCAGGCAAAAACAAAAAGGTATTTCTAATTGTCCCAGTTTGGTGTCTTGGGGGTACAGGTATAGACTGACTATCCTTGGTCCCCCTCTCATGTTCCCCATCCCACCTCCTCATCCTCCAGCACCTGGCTTTTGCCCCACCCCCCCAAACCCTCCCTCTCCCTGGTTAGAGGATGGCAGCTGAGGGTGGGGGGACTCACTGACGTTGGGGTGCCCGGAGACCTTGCGCAAGATGTCAATTTCCTTGATGGTGGCCTCCCGCAGCTCCTGGATCTCCTCAGGGTTCAGGCTGCCAGCGGTGATATCGATAATCTTCACCGCATATTCCTTCCTGCTCATCTTGTGGATACAGCGTCTCACCACGCTGCTCACGCCCCTGGAAAAAGAGGCTTATCTGGGGAGGGGGCAGGCATTTCCAGCAATCTGAAGGAGTAGGGGGTCAGCCCACCAAAAGGGAGATGATACTTTATAGGTGAGAAAAGAGAACTCCAGAGAGGGTCAATATTTCATCTAAGGTCCCACAGCAGAGTTGAGACTAGAATCCTGTCCAGAGCTGAAAGGAACCTCACTGCGAACTAGCCCTACCCTCTCATTTTAAAAAGGAGGAAACTGAGTCTTGTGGAGATAAAAATGCTTGCCCAGGGTCACCCAGGTAGGAAACATCAGAGGGAAGTTTTGAACCCAGGTCCTCTGACTCCAAAGTTAGTGTTCTTCTCAAGATACCATGAATCTAGGTGTCCTAATTTGCAGTCCAAGTCTCTCCATTAAGCTATGCATTAGGACCAGAAACCCCTAACTAAGGCTGGGTTCAAGTGGGCAGAGACAGAATAACCCTAACTTTTGAAGGGAGGGGAACGTCTGGACTGGTCTTCATCCCCTTTGCTTGCCTGGCACATGAGGTCCAGAGCCCCAGTTTGAAGGGTTCCAAAGAGGGAAAAGGACCAGCGGTGGGTGGATTCAGAAAGAGAGATCACCCATGGAAAGGCCTGAGCTCTCAAGGAAGGTTAGGAGAAGGGCCTGGAGGAAAGGGATCTTACCTCCCCAGGATCTCTTTGGGCTCATACTTCTCATAGAACACCTGGGCAGCATTTGAGTCTGGCAGCCCTTCATCCCGGGTCATGGTCTATCCTTCAAAATGTGGTGCCAACTGGGTTTACTGGAGGAGAAAGAGATTAAGGTTTTGGGGGAGGGGACAGTAGAGGGAGAGTTCCCATCGGCAAAGTTGTGAAGTTAGCCAAGTCTGACTCCGGAGCCCTCTCACCTCCTCTTTCAGTCCTGGGTAGCTGGCACCACCCCTCCTCACCCCCACCATCTCAAGAAAGAACCTTCATATTTTTTCCCCTCTTCCTCCGTCCCCGTTGGCTGTCCCCTTGGGAAGAAATTGACAAATGATTCCCACCAAGGCGAGAGTCCTTCACCATTTCTGTGTGTGTTGGCCCCTTTGGGCAGTCTGATGAAACTTATGCACCGCTTCTCAGAATCATGTTTTAAAACACATAAAATAAGGTCCAAAGGATTACAAAGGAAGCCAATTATATCAAAAGTTATCAAAATATTTATTTTTTAAAAGTTCGCAGAACCAAAGATTAAGAACTCCCAGCACTGAAGTGTTAAAGCCTCTTAATGAATTAATACTGTATTGGTATTTATAATTTAACAGGGGCAATCCATCGATCAACAAGCATTTGTTAAGTGCTTGCTGCGTTCCAGGCTTGCTGAGTGCTAGGTGCTGAGGATACAAAGACAAAACCAAAAAGGATCCCTGCCCTCAGGAAGCTACCATTCCATTGTGGAAACAACACGTTGGTGTCTAAGTCAGCTCAAAATTGGTGTAAATACAAGGTGTGGCCTGTAAGGGTCACAGGGCTCACAGGGAGCTGGATACATCTTGACCTCAGAAGGATCAGTCTCCCTCTTTGTATTATTGCCCCAAGCTGGAGAACTCCGGGAAAATCTATAGCTTGGGTCTGTTTCCCTAAATGTGAACAACAGGATCCCGCACACCCAGACATATCGTGTAGGGGGCAGTCTTTATTTTACCCCCAGACAAAATGTTAAGATGCCAAAGAGTCCCAGGAGTTCGCAGACAGACATGGAAATACGTGAAGTTCTCCAATAACCCATTAGACTGCCCCATCGCCCACTGTCACCATGGAGTAACGCCCTTTGGAGAAACTGCTGAACAAGCGAGCCTTGCATTGCCCTAGCAACTCGATGAAATGGCCGGGACAGCGCCTTAACCTCCCGAAAAAGCAGCCCCTTCCATTCCCGGAGAGCCTTAACTGCTAGGAAGTTTTTCCTAACATTAAACTAGAATATTCCTCTTCTCTACTTCCATTTACTGATCTTTGCTGTGCTATCTGGGGCCAAGCAGCACAAGACTATTTTCTTTTCCATGTGAGACCCCTTTAAGTCCTCCAAGACAGAACACATGCCTTCCCTCCCCCCACCACTCTTCTCCTTTACAGACTAAACATTCACTAGTTTCTCAGATTTGAACCACTCCTCATACTGCATAAACACAAAGTTTGACCATCCTAGCTGCTCTTATCATGATACTCTCCAGCTTATTAATATCCTCCCTAAAATATGGCACCTTGAACTCAAAATACTACAGGCTTTTTCATCACTGGACCATAGAGCCAGCTTAACTGCTAAGGACCAGCCCAACTCAGTTCAGAGATGCCAGTCACCACATTAGCCAAAGGATTTTGTTGTTGTTGTTCAATCATTTCAGTCATGGCCAACCCTTCGTGACCCCATTCAGGGTTTTCTTGGCAAAGATACTGGAGTGTTTGCCATTTCTTTTTCCAGCTTGTTTTACAGATGAGGAAACTGAGACAAACAAGGTGAAGTAACTTGCCCAGAGTCACACGGCTAGTAAGTATCTGAGGCTGGATTTGAACTCATAAAGAGGAGTCTTCCTGACTCCAGGCCTTGTGCTCTATCCACTGTGCCACCTAGCTGGCCAAAGGGTAATGAATATTAAAGTCAAAGATCCTATGTTGATGGCAGGATGACCAACATTGAAGAAATAATGCATCCAAGAAATATTGATGTATAATGCCTTAGGCAAAAGTAACAGATCAGTCTTAGAGGGCAGCTAGGTGAAAGGATAGTTTCAAATAAAAACCCATTTTGGGGTGTCTTCAGCTCTTCTCCCAAGCTTGGTGCCAGTATCTGTTGTTATAGCCACATCCCCGGAGACAAAGTAGAGTAGTCAACAGAATCAATGGAGTTGGTTATTTGGGGCACCTGGTGACCAAGGCTACATGCATCTCAGGCAGGGTAGATATTGTGGCTATCAGGTATGTCTTCCTTGATCACAACTGCATGGTTTAAAATGACCCCATCCATGATGAATTCAAGGATACCGTCAAGGCCGAAAATGGAAAGCTGTTAATGATTGGGAAGTGATTGCTATATTCCAGGAATGTGAGCCACCAATGTTAAATGGGGAGCTGCTGATGCTAAGAATATTGAAGAGTCCACTGGTGTCTTTACCACCTTGGAAAAGGCTGGGGTCCACTTGAAGGATACAGCTAACCATGTCACCATCTCTGCCCCTTCGTCAAGAGCCCTATGTGCCTGTAGTGAACCCTCATTCCCTTAGGATGATCAGCGGTCCCTTCTGCCCTACCATCTGCTTGGCCCCACCTATCCAAGGTCATTCATGACAGTTTTGACATTGTAGGGGGGGGACTCATAACTACAGTATATGCTTTTATTGCTAAGTAGGAAACAAGTTATGGGGTGGTGGGCATGATGTCGACCCCTGCTTCCACCGGTGTTACTAAGCCCATAGGAAAGGGCAATGCCCATGGGCATGGTCTTCCATGTCCTCAGCCCTAGTGTGTCTGTCATGAATCTAACCTGCTGCCTGGAGAAATCTGCCAAATATGATGAAATCAAGAAAGCAATGAAGCAACATCATAGGGGCCCTTGAATAATCTTGGCATTGGTACATTACACGGGCATTGGCATTGGTATTGTCCTCAATGGCCATTTTGTCAGGCTCATTTCCTGGTGTGACAATATGTAAACTTATAGCAGCTGGGTAGTGGACCTCATGGACTCCATGGCCTCCAAGGAGAAAGCAGAAAGCCATGGATATCTTCATGTCCTGCCAGAACAGGTGTTTCACTGTGGGGGAGCCCCTATCCCAAATCATAGCTATAGATAACAGATATAGCTATGGATACAGATATAGATAGTGATATTGATATAAATACATCTCTTATAGATATGGGTATCAGTTATAGATATGAATACGAATACTGATATGGATATAGATAGTGATACTGATATAAATATACAGATATGGGTATCAGTTATACATACAGATATGAATACAGATATGGATATAAATATAGGTAACACAGGTATAGATATGGGTGTAGGCATTGATGTGTGTATACAGGGCATCTCAAAAGTCTTAGTGCAGTTTTTAGCTTCATAAACTTTAATAGCTTCAAAATGCACTAAGACCTTTGGGATATTCTGTAGACGAGCTCATAGGTTTAGGGAAGGAAGGGACCTAAAGTCATCTAGTCTGAGACCATCATTTAGAAGAGACGGTGCTGAGATGAAGACAGGTAAAGAGACTGACCCCAGGAGATGGATAGAACAGATATTGAAGACAGGTACAGTAATTCCAAGCTCAGAACTCCAAGTTTGACTGTCAACTAAAGATGCCCCCACCACAATACTACAATCTAATTGGTCTATGGGCAGCTAGGTGGTGCAATGGATAGAGTGCTAGGCCTGGAGCCAGGAAGGTCTGAGTTCAAATTTGCCTCAGATATGTACTTACTAGCTGTGTGACCCTGGGCAAGTCACTTCATGCTGTTTGCCTCAGTTTCCTCATCTGTAAAATGAGCTGGAACTAGAGAAGGAAATGGCAAACCATTCTAATATCTTTGCCAAGAAAACCCCAAATGGGGTTGCAAAGCATTGGACATGACTGAAAACAACTGGACAATAATAAATTGAGGATATACAGATAACTGCAAGAAAGAGGGACAGAATGCGTTAAGGCCCCAGGAAAGGCACTCCCAGAGTCCTCTGCAGCTTGGAGGAAGGAGGGTTCACATCCAGCTAGGGAGGGAGGGGAGCTGAGTTGGCTTTCACAGCCTTGAGCTGAGTAAGGAA